TAAAGTATACAGTAAAATTTGATATAACGTAATCTTAGGGCAATTAATAAAAAATTTTGAAAATTCCATTATAGTAAGATTTTTTTAAACTTTATTATTAAATCCATTATATCAAAATTATTTTATTATAGCTATTTTTGAGTCTATTCCATTATATTAAGATTTTTATGTTTTCATTATATAGAATATCCATTATATCGAATTTTACTGTATAGTAATAGTATATTGAGTTTTGAATACAATTATATTTGTATTAATAATCTCTTCTATAGGATATAAATTAAATATGTCTATTTAGATTAAAGCTTTCTTTTCAATAATTGAATACAACTTTAGTAACAATAGAGAAGTACTAGTTTAGAATATCAAATTATAGATCAATTTCTTGATATTTTATTTTTACTTATAATAAAAGTACTTTACTTTCATTTATATTGGTTAAACTTAGGTTTTCTTTTTTCTTTAACAATATTATTACTATTTGTGGGTTACAATTTTATTATTAATAATAACTGTAAAAAGTTAAGTAATTTATAAGTTAATAATATAATTAAAGTATTGATAGATTGAATATAGATTTTACTTAATCTTATTATATTGTTTTGATACTTGTTTGATTAAAAATTACTAAAACCTATACAGAATATAGTTATATATTCTCCTAATTCAATATATTATCAGTTAATTATAATTTTTGTTATTATTGTTGTTATAATTATTGTTATTATTATGTAAGCATTTTGTTAGAGAAACTGATTAAAAAAGAATTTAAATAGGTTTGATTTTATTATTAAAGAAGTAAAAAAATTTAATTGATTGTTGGTTGTATATTGATTTTTTGATAAAGTAGAACTGAGTATAATTTTTGAATTAAATAAAAATTTTTGAAATAGTGATAGAATAAGAAAGTAAGATATAGTATTGTTTTTAATAAGAAAATAAAAATAAAAATAAAAATTTATAAAGATTATATTAAAACAAATATTAGATCAATAACTTTATTTGAATGTATAGTTGAAAATATATTAGTAATATAGAATAGGGCTTCTAATGAGCCAAGTAGCTTTCAAGCTTTTTTTTGTCATTTTTTATATAGTATATTATACTTTAATCAAATTTTACAATATTATTTATATTATAAGTTTATGTAAGTTTATATGAGCTTATAAAAATCAAAATTAAGCTTATTTTTTAAAACTCTAATATAAAGAAAGAAAAAAGAAAATAATTATAATAATTATATAAAAGAAATGATTTTTAAAAACAAAATTATGAAAAAAAAATATTATGGATCTTTTTCCATATAATTAAGAGCTAAAAAAAATTTCCAGCTTGTTTAAGTTTTAATCAGAGATCTTATTTCATTGCAATAATATTTTTTGAATTTTTATGTTCTTTTTTTTAAAACTTATTTGTCTTAAAAAATAAAAAAAATAAAAATATTTCTTAAAAGAAGATTTCTTAAAAAAGAAATTTTTAAAAAATCAGTAATAAATGGATAAGGGTTTTTATAAAAGATTTATTATTATATTTAATAAATACTATTAAAATTGATTTATTTTTAATAAAATTCAACTAAATTTTAAAATTAATTATTAAATAATTTTTTTGTATTTAATAAAAAAACAATAATAATTATATTATTATTATTATGACTTTTATTTAACAAATCTATGTATTGAAATAATTTTCATAATTTTAATAATTTTATTTTGTAATGTAAGTAAAATCAATTATTTTAAAAACTTTATTAAGAAAACTTGTTTTTTATATTCTTAAATATATTAATATAGATTTTTATTTTATTTCATCAAGTAGTTATTAAAAATATTACAAAAATAAAAATTGATGTATAGTACAAGTTTTTTTTAGTCACACGTTGTATAACAATTATATAATAATATATGCATTCTATTTTTTTATTTCAATTATTTCAAGTTTTTATAGATTATAGATTATATACAATATATACAGTATATAAATAAACTTGAATAAAAAAAGTTTCAACAAATTAATTATTCTTTGATATTATTTTTTTGTTTTGCTTATGCAATATAATTAAAAGAATAATATAAAAATTTATAAAATGACAATAAATTATTTAATTAAAAAAAGCATTATTTGATATTATATATAATCAAATTTTTATTTATTACTTGATATTTTTTTTTCAAAAAATTGAATAAAATATTGTATCAATTATATGTACAGTATATGCATACAGTATATACGGTATTTAAAAAAAAGAATAAGGCATGTATAATAATTAATTGTATATTTTTTATATATTTATAAGCTAGATACTGTGCAATGATAAATATAAACATCTAATTTCACTTTAATTTATAATTATAATTATGATGTTTAAAAGATCTCTTTGGCTTTTAAATGAGATTTGATTCAATTTTCAGGTTTTCTATCAAATTCTATAGAGATGATATACAGTATATACAGTGTACTGTAACTTCTCCATATAATTTATTATACTGTATAGGTGATTTCAAAAGGTGAAATTATAATCACATTTCATCAATCACCTGATTTGCAAAATATATTGGAGTTATTGAATTTCCAAAGTTATTATCAGGATTTATGAATAAAAATAGAATTGGTCTTTTTCATTCTTCTAAAAAAAAATATATAATTTTTTCGTCATATTGTTTTATATAAAAATTTTGATCTTGTAAATCTCAATTTCCTTTTTTACGACTTTTCTGTACAAACAAAAATACTGCACATTCCGTTCTTATTTCTGACGGTCTTACGATTTGAGCAATTAATCTCCTAATTGCAAACAATCATTGTTTTCCTAAACGAGCTTTTTCGCGAAACTTTATTAAGACACGAATGGGTGTGGGCGGCAGTCACAAATAAAATACGTGCATGTAAAGACGATCACTCGCATCATAATAAGTACTTTCGCAATTAATATATTTTTTAAGAAGATTCGGTTCCTTCCAACTTACAATTTTTTTATTTTTATTTATTTTTATTTTTTGGGGGGAGAATAGTAATAGGATATCATAGTGGTAAAGATAGTTTGAGTAGACAAAAATCTTTCGTCGGTGAATACGTAAACCGTACAAATTTCAAATAGAAAAAAAAAAAAGATAAAAAGAGATAAATGAAAAGAAAAAAAAAATATGGACAAGAAAGGGGAATATGGTTGATAGGATAAAACAAGAAAAAAAAAAAATACACAATAAATAACCAAAGTTCAGATGCATCCAAGTAATAACCGCAACCCTTATTTGAAAACTGATACCAATATAATGTTCATTCTTTGCAGTCACGTTTGGACCGCGGGAATTCGCGTTGAAGACATCAAAAAGAACGAATGTATAGAAAGATAAAAGAGAAAGGTATATATATATATATATGAAGGTACGTGTAAAGGTAAACTTATGGGATAAATGGCTATGTGTAGATATTTCCGTAGACGGTAGAGGATAGATGATAACTTTAAGTTGATAGATTCGTGAAAATATAGAGAGATATATATAATATATATGAAGTGATTTGCGAAAGAAAAAAAAAATAAGGTGAATAAATGTGTTGAGTGGGTAGATACCTAATACCTATTTTTTTTTTTTTTTTGCCAATTTTTTTTTTTTTTTTCTCAAATATAAATGCAAAGAAAAATAGAAACAAGGTTGAGGGTAGGAGAAAAAATATGTAAGAGAAAAAATGTACAACAAACGTTCATATCATGGAAACGATACCCACAGATAAGAGTTTGCTTTCTGCCGGTCTATTTAAACAAGTGGGAAGAAATTTACAAGTTGGCAGTCTATGTGATTCGAGATAGAACTACGGAAAACCAACGCATGGAGATAATTCGTGAGACATTTCCAGGCGATAGTTTAAAGTATTTCAATCTCGAAATTCTATGGTATATAGCTCTATTGAAAAAAAAAATGCATATGTTCTATGTATATATAAAAAAGGAGATATTGACTTATAAACACAATGAAAGCGAAACATATATATACTTGGAAGAGAGGAAGAATGTTAAATAATACAGAAGGTAAATTGATTTTGTAGTGTCCAAGGACCTTTGTGAATTTTTGGTTTGTTTTTTTTTTAAAACAATGACTTTGGTCCGCACAAATATATATTTCATCATTTAGAACACAAGGGAGAAGGCAATCGGATTATGGCTCGCAGGAAGACAAGAAATCTAGCTCAATACGTTTGAGACCGTGTTGGAATTCAGCCAAAAGTTGCTGGGAATTACGTCGAGGCGTTTCAAGAGCATACGCATAATGTTGGGCAATTGTCAATTGAGATTCCTGAGATGATGAGATATCAAATGAAGAAGGATTAATTACATGTTGATGATAGGCAGATTCAGCGGTGGCATCATAATTGCGGAAGAAAGTTTTTTCCTCTTCAATTGGCGAAGCAGTATAGTGACCCATGGCCATCAAGTCGTAATCAGTGGAGGACATTTCGACCGCTGATGGAGGGGAACAGCTGAAGAACGATGGTGTGGACGTTGAACCATCATACGACGAGGAATCAAGAACGAATCCATCATCAACAGGCAAATTTGCACGAGCATTGATATCCATTTGATTGTGATACATGTGGTTCAATTGATCGACGTCGTTGAACACGGCTTGAGTAGATGACAAATTATGCGAGGACACCAGGTTATTTTGAGTTGTTTCGTTATTATTGTGTGCAATTTGACCGGCTTCATAACGTAAAGCCGACGACGATCTTCCTAGATGACCGCTCATGTTATAGGGAGGTGGAGACAAAGAGCTAGGTGATCCTACAAAGGGTGAAAGTAAGGGAGTAGAAGCGGTCGAGTCACTATTCCACGAACTAACCGAGTCTACGGATGAAGAACGATAATGTCCGAAAATGGCCTTCTTTTGAAAATGTGTCAAATAAACCTCCTCCTGTTCATCACTCCCTTCCAAATTCAAGGAATAGACGGGCTTTCCGTCATCACTGTCACACAACAATTCATCAGCAAAAATGATTTTTGAATCATTCTTCTTACGACCATTAACCTTTGCCGCTGCCTTTGCACCCCCAGGGGTTTTTAAGTTTTGCTTCTTCTTTTGTGGTTTGAACTTATAATCAGGATACTTCAATTTGTGCTCCAACTTGAGTTGCTTTGCGCGCTCCCGCCAGTATTCCTTGACATCCTCTGGTTCATTGTTCCACATATTTGCAGCAAGCACCGATACCACTTTGTTGTTCATTCCAGGGTTTTCAGCCAAGAACCTTTCCTTGATGTGCTCACGATAGGCCATGAAACAATTTTTTGGACGAGGAATGTAATTCTTGTCGGCCATACGTTTACGGTAGGCGGATAAACGTGGGGTGGTGGTGGGAGTTGTGGTTGCGATTGCCTTGGCGTCGGTGGAAGTTGGAGTTTTTGACTTTGGAATGTCGACGGGCTTAGTTATTGAGGTAGAAGAAGGATAAGAGCTCTGTGAAGAAGCGTCCAGGGATGTGGAGGTTGACCCGGTTGAATTTTGACCACTGGTTTCTGAAGCAACCTGTTCTTCGATCTTTAAAGGTACTAGAACAACGTCATATCCTCTGGGCACGTGATAGACGTTGAAGTCAGTGTCGGAGGTGGAAATTGGTGTGTGTGGAGAGGATACATCGGAGGGTGAAGACGGTTGTGACCAACATGCGGCTTCCTCCCGTTCTTGTTTAAAATATTCCAGGCCGTTAGTAGTAGTCGAGTTCATTGTGTTTTGTTGCCTGGAATAAGATTACATAAACAAGTTAGGTTAGGTAATTGGGAAAAAGAGAGAGATAAAAAAAAAATAATAATAAATATATCATGTATATGTATATTGATAATAAGGATAATAAGAATTTTTTTTTTGAGCGGAAGAACCCAAAGTGGAAGAAAAAACAAACAAAACGAGACAAAGAGAAAGTAGATAATTTGTCTGCGTGGAGTACATACTGCGAATATATTTCCTTTTTACAATAATTTCTCTGAGGTTATAAAGAGATAGTCGGTATGTTCTTTGTCTGCGTTAAGAGAGAACCTAATTGGAATACTGGAGAAAATAAACCGGATAAAATCCTTTTTGCTAACAAAGATACGTCTAAGTTGGGAACGAGGAAGAAAAAAAAAAAGAAGACGACCGAGTTGTTTATAAAGTTTTAACGTTGATTGCTCACAGAGCGACCGACGAGTTTATATATATAATAAGTCTATTTTGGTTGGAGAGCAGATAAAAAATTTTATTGGGTTGAAAGAAGAGGGGAAAGAGAAAGAAGCTGAGTCAGGCAAAAAAGAGTGGGGTAAATATAATAAAATAGGGACCGAGAAAAATAAGGGAGTGGTGCGATATAAGGTGGAGTGGTGTGTGAAATTGGATCGAATAAGGTTAGGGAAATTTTTATATAATAATAATAATGATTTCTCTTCTTTACATTAATGATAACGATAATTATTACCCAAATGGTTCACGAATATTGAAATATAAAAAAATTTTTTATGAGGTGTAACGGGTGACGTCTCGCCGAGAAGTGAGGGTGCACCTCTCATAGTCATTTGGTTCACATTTTTTTTTATAGACGCACAAATATAAATATTTGCTAAATATTTCAAGATTTCTATTTTACACATTCACGAAAATCACATCTGTCGGCAATACGTTATTCATTTATAGCAGTTTCACAGCAGACATGTAGAAAAAAAAAATTTTTGGTACAGCGCGCATGCAAGTAAAAAAAAAAGGACCATCATTTTTCCCGCGGTTATCAACCGCCTGATGTTGTCCATATTGGTTAGATCTGGGCGCAGCAGAAATACCCTCGCTGTAATAATATTCGGTCCAGAAACCGTTGGGTTATAATTGATTTGAGTCGATGTTCCCTGGTGGCTTACGGTCTGACATGCTCGCTTCCCTGACACATTTTTTGAGTGCCATCAAACCGAAAATAAAAAATTTCTTCTTTAAGTAAAAACATGAGCGGAGAGAAAGCGCAACATCAGTACACCACAGCTTATCAATAATTGCCTAAATTGATGGATGAATGATAGACTATGTCAAATTTGGAAAATCGTGATTCACTTAATTTACATATAGTTAAAAGTCTGCCATGGACTTTTATTCCGTAAACATTAATCAATACATCGGGTTGCCTATAAAAGAAAACTTGAAAAAAAAA